GCTCTTCAATCGCACGCACAAAGGTGCCGGCGCGCGCTGTAGCCTGTATCCTTTCATATCAAAGCGCGAATTAAAAAACGACATGCATGCAGTGTCGTGGTCATAGTTATGTCATGAAGTTACCAAAAAGGTGATTAAAGCTGCCTTAAAACTGTGCATGCATGTAATATATTTTATATGAGTCACATTTAAGAACATGTCTCTGAAATGGTTTTCAAAACTGTCCTGGAGCCCAGCACTGTCTCACTCACCTAACACCCGATTCAACTCGCCAGCTCATTATAGAGACTTTAAGACCTGACGTGGGTCAGAAAAGGCACGTTCATCAGCGGCAGCTCTTAAAGTAATAGCAGCCAAAACAACCTAATAACCAGCTGCTGTGATGTCTATTAATCAAAGGACAAAGAAAAAAAAGAGGAAAAAATAACTTCTATAGCTTTAAGGATACATCTAGGCCTATATTTAATTTAGAATTGAGTGTTTTCAAATTTCTGTATATTTCTGCTGAAGAGCACAGGTAAATATGACATTTATTATAATGGGTTTATGTGAAGATTGTTTTAAGTTCACTTAAATTAGAAGAGATTCAGTGCATTGAGTTCCACAAATCTGAATGCATTATTTGTAAATTGACTAAGATAAACATTTTGCACAATTTAGTATCTGTAATATCATTGTGTTGCTACTAGATGCCTGTATAGCCCTATGTAACAATCCCTAGTGGCTAAGACATTGCACATAATTTACACATAAATCACACATAAATCAATTGTATTACATTTTGATTTGGATACTATATACTATACTACTACATATTGTTTAGATATTATCAGTGGCTACTTGTTTGTCTTTATCTGTTTTTTGTTCAATTTTTTTGTTGTTGTTTCTTGAAACATTGATTTAAAGTGTCAGTTATTGCATTATTATTTCAGTCAAACCTATAAAACCGCTTTGTTATCCCAAACTACATATAAAAGCTTTATGAGTGGCATAAAAGTAACCAATGCAGCTACTTAATCATTTGCTACTCGTTAACGCGTTAGCATCCTCTTTAAATAAAGTGACGCTCTGCCCTCTGCCGAGTCAGAAAGAGATGAAAAACACAATTTAGCTCTATTGCAAAGCCATGTAGTGAATAAAAAGATGAGATGTGCTACTGTACAAATAGCCATCAGAAGTGCAGGTCAAATCAAAATCTGAATTTGGTCATTTGGTCAAAGCTTTTTAAAACCCTATGCAAACAAAAGTGTCTTTTAGTTTTGAGATCAACACACAGATTTAATAAAACATAAAAAATAATAATAAATAAAAACAAAAATGTAATTATGTTGTTGTTTTCCACAGTAGAAATGCATGCATACATGATAATAGAATTGTCATCTTTGGTTGAAAGATCCCTTTAGCTGGTCACACCAAATTTGAAAATGTAAAAAAACATTTTTTAAAAGCAAGCTGCAAAAACGACTGGCTTATAATACTGCTGCGACTTTATGAATGCATCAGATTTTTCAATGTATGCTTCAGACACGGGTCACGACGAGGCGTTCCCCATAGCGACCCCTAGAGGACGCAGTGTCTCGTTCCCTACTCAGGGAACCATGGTTACATAAGTAACCTGAGACGTTTTCCACAGTAGAAATGCATGCATACATGATAATAGAATTGTCATCTTTGGTTGAAAGATCCCTTTAGCTGGTCACACCAAATTTGAAAATGTAAAAAAACATTTTTTAAAAGCAAGCTGCAAAAACGACTGGCTTATAATACTGCTGCGACTTTATGAATGCATCAGAGCATGACGGGTTATTCAAGTTAACTAACAAGAAAAACTTGTGTTACTTACATTAAAATAAACTTTAATTGAAATACAATAAACTAAACATTTTACTTTAGCTAGTTCTCATTTTCATTTACTTGATAAATTCTATAAATAACTAAAAATAACTAAAAAATAATTAAAATTAATAAAAAAAATATAGTATAGCCATTTAAAAAAACTGATAAAAATGATAAAAGATTATTACAATTTTAACTCAAATTAAAATGAAAATAGAAAAATAAAAACGAATTCAAAATATTCATAAAAACTGTAACAGTATCTTAATTATGCCCAAATAACACTAGCCATGACTTACTCTACAGCAACACATCTACTCTACAAGTGTGGTCACATTTACTGTTACTAAGCACTTTTTTGCAGGTGAACTCCAGTCATTTCAATGAGTTCGTGTGACTGGGAGTTTTACGCAAAGGCTAAATAATTCCCCATGCAGATTCCGCTCGTGTTCGAGTTAGTTAAGTGTATTCACCGCGCTGACCAGCAGAAAGCTGTTTGGTTTGAAAGTGATGTCTGTGTGAGAAATCGCTGCACTATTTAGAGCAAACAACGGTCCTTTTTTGTTAAATTTCACCAAGGCGAGCCCACCTTTACCTTCATCATAAAACATCTCTGCAACATGAAAGTGTTATTCTAAAGACCACGGTCTTTAATGAAAACCAGCAAACACAGCCGGTCACACTAACACTGCTGCACTTCATCAAACCACGACAGCCGTCTACAGCAACATCTTCAGCAGCTCCAGCAGTAGAGGAACATGTGGAGGAGTATGCTTAATACATCTAATTATTACAATCATGGTGATAAGAACTTGTGTATCAGATGACAAGAGAAATAGGGTGAAATCAAAGCGTATTCCAAATAAATATCAGAATGAAAGAAAAAATTGAATATTATAGATAGCTAAGTTGGTTTATAGGATCCCATCCTCCCTTTTCTCATTACATAAAGTGAAAATATCATTCTTTACTGTAGTACAGTAATGCAAACTGATCAAATTTAACAGCTCTTTTTATTGTTTAATTATAATAATTTAAATACATCATCTGCAGAGTACATGTATATTTGTCTGACAATCTACATATTTGAAAATGTCTCCATGCAAAAAAAAAGTCTTAATGTTTTTGTAATTAAAATTTAACATCTCTTCTTCGTCTTATTATTATTATTATTATTATTATTAGGCAAAAATATATATTTTATTAAATTAAACAGCTCTTTTTAATACTATTTATTTATTTATTAATGTATGTATGTATGTATGTATGTATTTATTTAGTTAGTAGTTTAAATAATTCCCAGGCATTTCTTTAATGCACAGTTTAAAATAAATCTGTCAAATAATTCTTCATTTCAAAGCATTATTCTGTTCTTACTCAATGTGGATGGTGTGTGTGAGTGAGTGAGTGAGTGTGAGTGAGTGAGTGAGTGTGTGTGTGTGTGTGTGTGAGTGTGAGTGAGTGTGTGTGAGAGTGAGTGAGTGTGTGTGTGTGTGTGTGTGAGTGTGAGTGAGTGTGTGTGAGAGTGAGTGAGTGTGTGTGTGTGTGTGTGTGAGTGTGAGTGAGTGTGTGTGAGAGTGAGTGAGTGTGTGTGTGTGTGTGTGTGAGTGTGAGTGAGTGTGTGTGAGAGTGAGTGAGTGTGTGTGTGTGTGTGTGTGAGTGTGAGTGAGTGTGTGTGAGAGTGAGTGAGTGTGTGTGTGTGTGTGTGTGAGTGTGAGTGAGTGTGTGTGAGAGTGAGTGAGTGTGTGTGTGTGTGTGTGTGAGTGTGAGTGAGTGTGTGTGAGAGTGAGTGAGTGTGTGTGTGTGTGTGTGTGAGTGTGAGTGAGTGTGTGTGAGAGTGAGTGAGTGTGTGTGTGTGTGTGTGTGAGTGTGAGTGAGTGTGTGTGAGAGTGAGTGAGTGTGTGTGTGTGTGTGTGTGAGTGTGAGTGAGTGTGTGTGAGAGTGAGTGAGTGTGTGTGTGTGTGTGTGTGAGTGTGAGTGAGTGTGTGTGAGAGTGAGTGAGTGTGTGTGTGTGTGTGTGTGAGTGTGAGTGAGTGTGTGTGAGAGTGAGTGAGTGTGTGTGTGTGTGTGTGTGAGTGTGAGTGAGTGTGTGTGAGAGTGAGTGAGTGTGTGTGTGTGTGTGTGTGAGTGTGAGTGAGTGTGTGTGAGAGTGAGTGAGTGTGTGTGTGTGTGTGTGTGAGTGTGAGTGAGTGTGTGTGAGAGTGAGTGAGTGTGTGTGTGTGTGTGTGTGAGTGTGAGTGAGTGTGTGTGAGAGTGAGTGAGTGTGTGTGTGTGTGTGTGTGAGTGTGAGTGAGTGTGTGTGAGAGTGAGTGAGTGTGTGTGTGTGTGTGTGTGAGTGTGAGTGAGTGTGTGTGAGAGTGAGTGAGTGTGTGTGTGTGTGTGTGTGAGTGTGAGTGAGTGTGTGTGAGAGTGAGTGAGTGTGTGTGTGTGTGTGTGTGAGTGTGAGTGAGTGTGTGTGAGAGTGAGTGAGTGTGTGTGTGTGTGTGTGTGAGTGTGAGTGAGTGTGTGTGAGAGTGAGTGAGTGTGTGTGTGTGTGTGTGTGAGTGTGAGTGAGTGTGTGTGAGAGTGAGTGAGTGTGTGTGTGTGTGTGTGTGAGTGTGAGTGAGTGTGTGTGAGAGTGAGTGAGTGTGTGTGTGTGTGTGTGTGAGTGTGAGTGAGTGTGTGTGAGAGTGAGTGAGTGTGTGTGTGTGTGTGTGTGAGTGTGAGTGAGTGTGTGTGAGAGTGAGTGAGTGTGTGTGTGTGTGTGTGTGAGTGTGAGTGAGTGTGTGTGAGAGTGAGTGAGTGTGTGTGTGTGTGTGTGTGAGTGTGAGTGAGTGTGTGTGAGAGTGAGTGAGTGTGTGTGTGTGTGTGTGTGAGTGTGAGTGAGTGTGTGTGAGAGTGAGTGAGTGTGTGTGTGTGTGTGTGTGAGTGTGAGTGAGTGTGTGTGAGAGTGAGTGAGTGTGTGTGTGTGTGTGTGTGAGTGTGAGTGAGTGTGTGTGAGAGTGAGTGAGTGTGTGTGTGTGTGTGTGTGAGTGTGAGTGAGTGTGTGTGAGAGTGAGTGAGTGTGTGTGTGTGTGTGTGTGAGTGTGAGTGAGTGTGTGTGAGAGTGAGTGAGTGTGTGTGTGTGTGTGTGAGAGAGAGAGTGTGTGTGTGTGTGTGTGTGTGTGTGTGTGTGTGTGTTTTACCTTCACTGAGAGGGTCGAGTGTGTGGATCATCAGATGAAAGATGCTGTTCCTCATTAGGGTGTTGTGTAAAGAGGCGGAGCTTCCTCCTCTCTGCAGCCGGGGTTTGGCCTGTGATAGGAGGAGAAACACATCAATCAAAGCCTTCTGGTCAGTGACATCAGAATAAAGACTGCACAGTGACAGCACGGTCGTCATAGAGACGGTATAAATGTGGTTCATCTTAAGGAAGCAGCATGTTTGAGCGGTTCTAAACTGGGTATCTTGGCCTCAAGTCAAGGGTTATCTTAAAGGTTAAGGGTGGGCTTAATCTGCCTTCAGAGCAATTGATGCTATGGCAACATGTCAGTGCAATCAGAAGAGTCAGCTGCTGATTACCACAATCATACAGGTGTCAGGAGTGTGTGTGTGTGTGTGTGTGTGTGTGTGTGTGTGTGAGAGAGAGAGTGTGTGTGTGTGTGTGTGTGTGTGTGTGTGTGAGAGAGAGTGTGTGTGTGTGTGTGTGTGTGTGTGTGTGTGCTGTGCTGAGACAAACACTCAGTAAATTGCTCTGAGGATCAGGGATCAGTGCTGGCAGATGTCAAGGTGCCGCTTTACTGTCGCTTTGATGGAAGGACGTTTGTGTAGACTGTAGCACCATCCATCCATCTCTCTGTCTGTCTCTGATAAAAGCACCACATTTTTTATTTTTTATTTTATTTTTTGGATATGTATTCATCCATCCATTCATCTATTTATTTTATCCATCTATTACTTATCTCAAGAAAGAAATAAATAAAAAAATAAAAAATAAAATAAAATAATCATATCAAATCAAATCCCAGGTCAGTGTTTTGAAGAAGTGGGTCTTTCTCGTGGATCACAGGCTTTTATTAAGTAATCCTCATGCTTTTCAACACAGCACAAACACGAGTAAACAGACCGATCCACAGACACACACACGGACAATACTTACCGACAGCTTGCTGTCATCCTCCACTCCACTAGGGCTCAACTTCACAGTCAAGAGACGAACACAACACAGAGAGAAAGAGAAGAGACAACAGCACAGAGATGAGAGACAGGACCAACGGACAGAACACCGACATCAGACTCCACAGAGACACACACATCAACAACACATCAAATGACAGAGTGTGCTTGACCTCTGACCTCACAGAGAGCGTGTGTCTGACCTCTGACCACACAGAGAGTGTGCTTGACCTCTGACCTCACAGGGAGTGTGTCTGACCTCTGACCTCAGAGAGAGTGTGTGTCTGACCTCTGACCTCACAGAGTGTGTGTCTGACCTCTGACCTCACAGTGAGAGTGTGTTTGTCCTGACCTCACAGAGTGTGTGTGTGTGTGTGTGTGTGTGTGTGTTTGACCTCTGACCTCAGTGACTGTTTGACCACTGAACTCACAGTGTGTGTGTGTGTGTGTGTGTGTGTATTTGACCTCTGACCTCACAGAGAGTGTGTCTGACCACTGACCTCACAGTGAGTGTGTCTGACCGCTGACCTCACAGAGAGTGTGTGTCTGACCTCACAGAGTGTGTGTTTGACCGCTGACCTCACAGAGAGTGTGTGTTTGACCTCTGACCTCACAAAGAGGGTGTGTCTGACCTCACAGAGAGGGTGTGTCTGACCGCTGACCTCACAGAGAGTGTGTGCGTGTGTGTGTGTTTGACCACTGAACTCACAGTGTGTGTGTGTGTGTGTGTGTTTGTGTGTGTGTGTATTTGACATCTGAGCTCACAGTGACTGTTTGACCGCTGAACTCATAGTGTGTGTGTGTGTGTGTGTATTTGACATCTGAGCTCACAGTGACTGTTTGACCGCTGAACTCATAGTGTGTGTGTGTGTGTGTGTTTGTGTGTGTGTGTATTTGACATCTGACCTCACAGTGACTGTTTGACCGCTGAACTCATAGTGTGTGTGTGTGTGTGTGTGTGTGTTTTTGTGAGTGTATTTGACCTCTGACCTCACAGAGTGTGTTTGACCACTGACCTCACAGAAAGGTTTTGACCTCTGACCTCACAGAGTATGTTCTGTGACTTCCGACCCTAATGAATGTGTTTTGACCTCTGACCTCACAGAAAGTGTTTTGTCGTCTGAAATCAAGTATGTGCTGTTACTTCTGACCTCACAGAGTGTGTGCTCTGACGATACTGAACGTGTGCTTTGACCTCACAAAGTGCCTATTTTGACCTCTGACCTCACCAAATGCATGCTGTGACCTCAACTAAGTCTGTTGTGACCTGACCTCACTAAGTGTGTATTTTGAAGTTGCCAAGTTTGTGCTGTGACCTCAGACCTCACAGAGTATATTCTGTGACATTTGAACCTACTGAATGTGTTTTAACCTTTGACCTGACCAAGTGCATATTTTGACCTCTAACATCACCAAGTGTGTACTGTGACCTCTGACCTTACAGAATCTGCGCCCTGACATTTGACTTCTGACCTCACCAAATGTGTGTTATGGAATATGCCCTCACTGACTGTGTGCTGACTTCTGATTTTATTTTATTTTTTCAAGTGTGTGCTGTGAAAACATATTTTGACCACTGATCTTGCCAGTTTAACCTCTATACATCAAATGAGTATATTACTGCACCAGCACTTTTCCAAGATCTGAGTAAAAAGATGCTACTTCACCCAACAAGCAATGACACTTAAAACAACACTTCCCAATAAACCAGTCAGTCCAGCCCAGCCTGGAGCAACATGGTTCAATCTATTCTAATCCAGTTCAGTCAAAAACGGTTTTGCAGTCAGATGACCTCTTGAAGTGTGTTGTTCTTGTCAGAATAAGCCATAAACTGTATCTGTTCCAGTGTTCCCAATCCAACAAACTGCGACAAAGCACCATCGAGCTCAAAGGTCATCAGTTCAGCAGGTAAAGTGGAACCATTGGAGGCTCAATCGTGATGGAGAAGACTCTAAAATTAGCTCTTAGGGCTAAATTAGGTACAAGACAGAGCCCTGGAAGGCCATTTTAAAAGGAGAAAATCAATTTGTACCTCAAGTCTCTGCCCACAGTTCACTCATTACCAACCTGAACAAAGCTGCAGTGCTAGTGTTAACACTGACTATTAAAAATCAGAATCCATTTCCATACTTGTATTCGACTGTAATTTAAATCCATTTGCGTCTACAGTGTTAAAAACACTAAAGTTGACTTTTCTGTATTTAAATAAATAAATAAACAGACACATAAATGGATAAATGCATAAATAAAAGCATACATTAATAAATTTGTAAATATTTGGATAAATGTGTAAATGCATAAATACATGTATAAATGCACAAATTTATAAACAAATGGATAAATACATAAAAAACATAAAAGCATAAACGGATATTCATAAATATATTGATGAATGCATAAATAATTGCATAAATACAAATAAAAGCATGAATGGACAAATTCAAAAATCGATAAATGCATAAAAATTATAAATAAATGGGAAAAAATGCATTTATAAATTCATAACTGCATAATTACATTAATAAATGCATAAACACATAAAAAAGTATACATGAATAAAGACGTAATAAAATGGATAAATGCATAAACTCACAAATTAATGCATAAATCCATTAATGCATAAATAAATAAAGTAAATAAAAAAATTAATAATTCTGAAACCTCCCCCCACTTGCTAATTACTGACCCAATTTTCTGCAAGCAGAGCTAATTACAAAAGCAGCCACTCTCATCACCTACAGGGGATTTCAGAAGAAATCACAAAGGAGCCAAATCATCAATCTCCAACATTGATAGAAAAAGAACAGCCTCCTCATTTATTAAGTGAAGGATCCCAAAATAAGCCACTATAAAAGAAAAATGTACGCATGTCTCTGTAATCAACAAAACATTAAAGCACTGCTACATTACTGCAGCTTCAACACCTTGAGAGTTTATGTTGGTAAATGGAATATGTGTAAACATATAGGCCCATCAACTAGAGAAACAGTGCAGCTGTGCTCAGGGATTTTAACTAAATGGGCAACTTAGTTTCATTTTCACTAAGCGGCTCAGAGCAAGATTTGAAGATGTCAAGATGTCAAATGTGAAGCTGATAATAAGAAGAGCTGAGACGACAAACTGGAGGCATTACAGATCAAAGATTAAGCTATTACTTAAAAGATTTGTGCAAAAAGACTTAAAAAGACTTTGGCAGTAATTAAATAGGGTCAATTTAATGTTGACTAAGTAGGTCATAATGAGGGATGACTGTGTGTTTGCGTGTGTGTGTGTGTGTGTCAGGGTCACCTTGAAGATGCTATGAGGGCCAACAAAACAAAATTGGTGAAGGTTGTGATTATGAGCGCAGGCTGCTGAATGAACATTTATAGAGTAAATTCAGTCATTATGATAATTAGCCTTTCACAAGCCTCATCATAGAAATCACAAAGGAGCCAAATCATCAATCTCCAACATTGATAGAAAAAGAACAGCCTCCTCATTTATTAAGTGAAGGATCCCAAAATAAGCCACTATAAAAGAAAAATGTACGCATGTCTCTGTAATCAACAAAACATTAAAGCACTGCTACATTACTGCAGCTTCAACACCTTGAGAGTTTATGTTGGTAAATGGAATATGTGTAAACATATAGGCCCATCAACTAGAGAAACAGTGCAGCTGTGCTCAGGGATTTTAACTAAATGGGCAACTTAGTTTCATTTTCACTAAGCGGCTCAGAGCAAGATTTGAAGATGTCAAGATGTCAAATGTGAAGCTGATAATAAGAAGAGCTGAGACGACTAACTGGAGGCATTACATATAAAAGATTAAGCTATTACTTAAAAGATTTGTGCAAAAAGACTTAAAAAGACTTTGGCAGTAATTAAATAGGGTCAATTTAATGTTGACTAAGTAGGTCATAATGAGGGATGGCTGTGTGTTTGCGTGTGTGTGTGTGTGTGTGTGTGTGTGTGTGTGTGTGTGTGTCAGGGTCACCTTGAAGATGCTATGAGGGCCAACAAAACAAAATTGGTGAAGGTTGTGATTATGAGCGCAGGCTGCTGAATGAACATTTATAGAGTAAATTCAGTCATTATGATAATTAGCCTTTCACAAGCCTCATCATAGAGACTGATTGCAATCAGACGCTTTTATCTGCAAAGTACCACTGACTCCAACACTGTGACCACCGCATTTACACACACACACACACACACACACACACACACTCATATATATATATCTCATATATATATCTATACTCATATAAATGCAAATGAGCTGCTGCTTCCCGCCCACTTTTCCAGAATAGGGCGGAGCCTTTACAGCTCTCATCTGACAAAAAAAAACATCTGTTTGGTTTTAATTATCATTCCTATTATCATGCCTATCATGCATAAATCATGCGTTTTAAAGCCACATCAGGGCAGGGCGGAGTCTCTGCTAATACAGCAGTGTCCGTCAACAGTCGTGGGCGGGGCCTGTGCAATGTGACGTCACATTTTACACATTCTGCAAACGGCTTGTTCTGAGACACTGCTTATGATTTATGGGGATTAAAAAAAATGGAGCGGGTGGTTGTGTTCTCACACTAACAGCACACATTTATGTTCAAACAATATGTAAAAGTGAATTTTGCATAATAGGTGCCCTTTAATATTTTTTCTACATTGCAAATAATATTATAAGCATGACTATCCGAGTAAATGTAAACTAATGTTATGAGAGTAATTATCTGAGTGAATTTAATTAATACATTAATTTATTAAATAATACTAATAAAAAAGTGCTTTTAAACCATCATGATGTTGCTTATTTTATACTGGATTTATTATTATTATTATTTTTAAATATTGCGAAAAATTCACCCAGCAACAGCAAGCATTTCTCCAGCTTCAGTCCCACAGCAGCAGCAGCAGCAGCATATGCTGCTTCAGTAAAGAAAGTCCTTTATCTCTGCTCTGCATTCAACATTGGCTAATTCCCTAATCTTTTAAAATAGCTTGGATCGATTGAGCCTCAGGTTTCTGCCTGTATCTC